TCTTGATACTTGTATATACAGAGCTCCTTATACAGGCTGTGATGTAGCTACTACATTTCTCTGCTATTTTTAACCCACTTTATTGTCTTTGCCTCTACTGACTAAACGAGATTTTCTTTATTTTGTTTGTGGCATTCTTTCGATTAAGAAGGTAGGCAGGGGTTTAAAAAGTTACCTCCTTAATAAAGGTTGTAGGTATCTATTATATAGCCCTAAGTTTAAGTCAAACAGCAGATACCTATGTATAATATAGGGAGCATTAAACAAATCTGCTCATTAGACTAACTAACTATTTAATTCTAAGTAGGTAGTACTCCTTTAAATGTTTCTAGAAAATAGGTGAATGAAAGTAAAACATTGTTCAAACAATATGTGTCGCGTGAAATATTTTCTTTGTCCAGTACAGTGCAATGTCGTGCTAAGCTGTGTGCTGACTTCCTTAACCACGCGTGAAAGAACTATTAAAAAATCGCGAAAGCGTAGCCTCTGCGACCATTACCGCCTTATACTCGTAAGATATTTTTATAATACCTGTTTACTGGTTTTAACCGTCTATTTATACATTAACACAATAATTTGCAGTCTGATTATTTCATAGTTTACGTTTTTAATATTGTTGTTAGTGAATAAAACGTTGTTTTGTAAAGCAGTAAACACTTCGAAACATTTTGGTTAATGATTCTTTTGTCGGTATAACGTTTTAATTGATGATTTGTCAAAGATATAAAGTGAAACAAGGAGTAATAAATAATTATTACAAATAATGACAAAACAGTTGTTTTTTTTAACTAGACTGAGACTTTAGTGATGTCGAACATGGCTATGGACTCTGGGCTGTGAACATTGTTGTAGAGTATATAAAATTTACTTACAAAAACATTAAATAGTTTACATTCAATAACTTTAGGTGAAGATTTATGTAGGTACTCCAGGGTTTTATATAAACTAGGGTTTTCCTTTTATCAACCTTAGATGAAGATGTTAACCTTCGGAAAACTTGGCAAAAATACATTATGTAATATATAGGTAAGTAAGTACCTTGGAGCTTATTTATAAACACGTAATCCATCAAGAAAATAGTTTTCTTCATTGATATTTCATCAATCAAAATCCACAATGTCGGTAGGTATCTAACATCAATCTTATATTGGGATTTCTAAGAAAAAAATAGTATAGCGTTAATACTATTAAAAATAAATGCGAAGGTGTCAGGCCACGTACTGAATAGATCCATCATGAGCAAACTACGGGACAATAAACAGGTCGGTGTTGGGGACACAGCTTAAAAAAGGTTTTTTGAACCTAATAACATTATATTTTAATGTGATAAAGACGTGAATTCAAGTGGAAAACCAATTGTCATTCTCAAGATCGAGACGACCTAATCAAGACTTGTCTAAGTCTGAAGAAGGTGGCAATTTCGATAGCTATTAAATTTTATCTTAGGCGAACGAATATAATTTGTTAAAACGATATTATCTATTAGGTAAAGCTTTGAAATTTAAATGCTGTTCATCTTCTTATAAAAATGAGGAACTTGCATGTATGATATGAAAGTCCAGGAAATAGTGTAGATGATGATTTATTCTTTAAGTTAATACTGTAGTGGCTGCCCGCGTGGCAATTGGCCGTTTAAATGAAAAAGATACTCGTACTACGCCCTCTGTTCTTTTTATGAATAACTTTAATTAATTATTTGTTAATACCTAACTTACACTACCTACTTACTTATAGTGCGAGGTGTCACACACACTACAATACGAAGTTAAATGATAGCTTAGAAAAACTATTTTCTGGTTGTTGTTTACAAAGAGTAATGTTTAAATTGCTCTGTTATTTGTGATGACATATCTTACCCGTGGCCGTTGGTTCAGACTTTAGAGATCGCAAGCGAAATCTGGATCATGGGACTAATTTTTTTTTTTTTTAAGGGGGGAAAATCATCGAATGACTGCCCCCGCCTGGGTGAGGCGGGAGGGAGTGTCAGACTCTTACTGACTAAAAACCACCCCGTTCCTTCTCCTGCACGTCGAGCCAGAGCCCCGGTTACCCGTTAGGTTCTCCGCGACATCATGGGACTAATATTGACTTACCCTGTCTATCACCTTCCGCAATTGATCGTAAATGAAGAACGATGTCTAAATGGGTTTTGTTTTGCGCAGCGCTTCCTATGTTTTTTTATCAAGAGGAATGAGTCCTTACTCGTACGTTTCTCTCAAATCCTCACTTAATGCTCCCAATACAGTTCGTATAAACAGATTTAACTTTAGCTAAACAAATCTCTTGCTTTATTTAGCGTATTTAGTTTATTTTATAGCATAAGATATTTACTATCTAAGTACGCATTTGTCGTATGTTCGGGTTGAAAGTGTAAGGACATTTTTTTTTCTTCACTACATAGTATAAAACAAAGTTGCTATCCGCCGTCTGTCGGTCCCTATGCATGCTTACATCTTTAAAACTATGCAACGGATTTTGATGCGGATTTTTTATTAGATAGAGTGATTCTTAAGGAAGGTTTATATGTATAATACACGCATATTGCACCCGTGCGAAGCCGGGTCGGGTTGCTAGTTCAGAAAAAAAAAGAAACTTTCTTTTGAATTGGTAGTTTTCATGTCGATAAGTAGGTATTTTACTACTGATATTCAGGCAACTAATGTCGATTGGGTTAATAGGATACCAATTTCGTTTCACTGGCGTCAGCAGATAGGCATATTTTAAACTTTCGTTGTTGTAGTACATAGTTTGTAATTGTATCTGGTTTTCAATACTCAATACTTTATTGCATTCCATAACGTATTTTACAACAGTTGGCATTGTTACAAGGTACAGAAACAGTTATGGACCTTGTAGGGCGCAGCAAAAGTAGTTTTTTATAGACGAGAGGATGAAGAACACTTTTCTAATATTTAAAATATTGGATACGAGAAGAAATTACAGCTATGAGTTTAATTGGGTATTCAATACATTTATGTTCATTTGCTTGTATTTATTGTAACATATATTTATTTATGTTAGTTACATTTATTTATGTCAATACATACATACATAACTTCACGCCAATCTCCCATGGGGGTAGGCAGAGACAATGGAACGCCAATTACAACGATTCCTACGGTATGTCTTTCGCTTCATCAACAGTCATCAATCTTGTCATGCATACTCGTCAGTTAAGGGCACTTTTAATTTATGTCCAATAACATTTGTTTACATTCAATAATAATTATATATTTTCTAAGGGCTGGAAATCTCAAATCATACAAAATGGCTTCCACAAAAACGCGTTCATTAGTGGAGTTAACTTCCTAATACCTGCTTACTTTAAGTTATTTACTCTTCAAAATAAATAAATTGAATATCCTACAATGTCTTCCTAAGATAGGTAACTTAACTTATCTAAATTCCTCTTGAATTCAAAGTAAATGTAAATAAAGTTGTATTTAGGCAGATGACTGGGACTACTTAGGGATTTTGTCAATAACCACATTTTGTTTAGGTTTCTTTTCACCTAAGTAGCTTACTTAGGTACCTATTTTATTTACCTTTGGCTTATTTATTATCTAGTTTTTGAACGAATTTGTTGCTTGAAAAGTTAACCTACCTTAAATACTGCATAAAAAAGCGCTGTATTAAGCGCTTATCCTTTCTTGGACGACATAGTATTTTAGAGTTTAGGTAGACTGGCAGATAATGCGTATGTCTTGAATGAAGCCTTTAATAAATATTTTGATAATAGAAAATTTCAAGTTATCAAGTAATCAAGTATTTATTGCATCCATAATGTACCTCTACATATAGTTAGAAAATACAATAGTAACAATTATGGACCCTGTCGGGCACAGCAACATTTAAAATTGGTAGGAGAGAGAGGAAGGGCGTTTTATTTGATTACTATTAATGTAATGTCGAAATTAATAAAACAATGGTTTTAGACAATTAAATTATTGTAATGTATGCATGTTATCTATTTAGTTCTACACATCGACTTAGGTGCTGGTCTAGTACCTAACTAATAGGTACCTTCATGGAGATTGACCGCAACTATAAAACTGGAATGGATTCCTTTTTTTTCATGAAATAATATTAATATTGCATAGTTTTACTTTTAATACAAATATTAATACCACGAATATCTCAGTTTACCCATCCTACGCATCGAAGACGAAAATTAACATAACATTGTAAATACAGGACAGATGTTAGGGGACTCGTTCAACAACTTTCCTACACCCAAGTATGCAAATAAATCTTCAAGTACCGGACCAGGGATGTTGTCAAGATCTTGAACATGCCTCGACACGTCTAGCCCCGACATAACACAAGTCTTACAGTCTTATCACCACTTGAGACATGTGATTATGAGATTTATAGCCCAAGAGTTCGTAATGTACCGTGAACAACTTTAGTTAGACAAACCCACTTTATTGAGATCGTAAACCGAATTATCTGTCCCCGTACGATACGTACGACTATTGTAAAATTTTTATAGCATGTCGAGTGAGATAGGGAATACACAATACATGGACAACTCCTATATTGTGATCTTGTTAAAAGTGCTTCTTTATGACGTTAAGATACGTTTAAGTGTGAAGATAGGGGCTTCTTAGATTAAAAAGCTTTCATAAACGTCACTTTTTCTAATCATGGTCTAATTTTTGCCAATGTTTTTTACTTCAATAAATGTTCATGTTCAAGTTAGCCTTCAAACGTTGAGCTCTCTGAATATGTATGGACATGTACAAAATTCTCGCCCCTCTTACTAGTAATGAATGAAACCTCTCACTCAATGTTTTGCATCGCTAAACAACCCATCAAGGTAATCAAGCACTGCTACAATTCCGGCCGAATAACAAGAGATCTGTGCCAGAGTAGCAACAATAACAAGAGCGAGTCATGGCATCGATATGAAGTAACGAAATAACTTAGAAATGTCAAAGCCTGCCGACTTGGCCGACCTCGCTCCCACTCTCGAAGCAACGGTACTCGTGTCTCGGCAGTCGGCGCCTGCGCCGCCACACGCTCCGAGGTCTGTGCCCTCCTCCCCGACAACTTGCACGCGTCATTGCGCTCGCGCACATTCCCTCGCAGCAACAAGAGTTTCAAACGAATAATCACAAATAACGAACGAAGAGTTCGATCGCGACCTGCCAGGTCCTCGTGGTGACTCCGAGCGAGACAAGTTTTAATGTGACACCTTACGGTACGCAGCCGCCTGCGACCGAACTTTTATCAATACAGCCTTTTACAAGCTCTCAACTCTCCGCGAGTTCAATGTGATTTGTGAAATGTTGCGAATTATGGAAATTTCATGTTTTCATATCGACGTGGTGATTTTTTATCGTGCCTGAGGCGTAAAGTGGAAGTTTGTGAATTATTGAAGGAGGAACACTTTTTCTGGAGTTAACGTGCGAGGTGCCGGGAATAACATCAAAGGTGAGTTCAAACAGTTGAGAATTTAAGCGGAGTTACATTTGAATGTGAATATAATTCCAAGTTTACCATGAAAACATTGGAATTTCTTAGATATAACAAGTTGATCTCTTTAACAACTTCTGACGGGGAACACTTGAATAAATGAATACATTTTGCTGATAATGATGGCGAGGTCTGTGTGAGACAAGGGTGCTTACTGCTTGATCCTCTTTAACACGAACAAACAATTATATTGTGATAAGTGCAGGATTAATTTGTGTCGTGTCTAGTGTTCTGAGGAAGGTAAAATTAAATTTGAATACAGTTTTGGAGACAATATAAAAATAACTTAATTTTGGAGCTTGTTGGCCTTGGTCAAGGCGACTGGGGACGGTTTCTCGGTCACCAAGCACCTTAGTAGGTACCACCTACATTCATGGGTATATTAAACTGTCGAACACCAAGCGGTCACCGGTGACCGCAACCTATTGTTCTTTAATTGTGTCTATAATGACGGTGCTCGACGAGTTAATCGTTAATTTAAGAATCTATTATTATAGATTTTACCAGGAAAACCACAAGAAACCAATATTTTTCTCTAATAGTCTGTACTCATTACGAAATTGCAATGTTTGACGCTTGCATCAGCGGTGGCAATATCTAGTATCTAAACATAAAGTAAAAGCTTGACAGATTGCTATTAACAAATCTAGATATTTGTTGATTGTTCTTTCTTTGGTTTTATTGCTTTTGTTTTAACTATCACGTTTTTCTTGAAGATTTACTACATTATATAGATCGATATTTAAGAATTAACAGTTTTACGTTACCTACACTCATTAGACATTAAGTTAATAGCTAAGTTATGTCTAAGTAAGTAGGTCATAATTTCTATTTAATAGTGTGATAGTAGATAGGTAGTGATAAGAATTTTCTACCTTTTTTCATCCTGACAATGTATCCGAAAATTAAAATATTATAAACTATTTTTCTAATAAAAATTAACTATTTACTCTGCTGTTTTATATCTATAGTTATCCTTATCTACGAGGTTAAATATTGTCTATTTCTTATATTATTTTACATGTATTTTAACAAGGCATTTCGAAAATCATGATCGCCCAAAGAGGTAAAAAGTTAGGAACTGGTTGACAAATTTCTGATTATGTTTTGGTTAGCTTAACTGTAGCTCACAAATTATATTTCAACATATACCCAATATTCCCAAACACGTAAAATACGATACATTATTTATTAATTACGCTTACAGAAAAAGAGGCATTGTAAAAGTAAAGTAAGTAACTTACGACTCCCATAGACTATATCATCATAAATTATCCTTTTTGTTTAAAAAAAATCACTCAGTAGCAGCACGGAGTCTGGAATTGTACCTGGTATATGGCAATAGGCTCACCCCCTATTACATTGGACTCATAGCATAAATTGTGAAAAGTGGTTGTTACATTGTAGGTACAGTGGCGTAATGTGCACCTCTGCCTACCCCTTCGAGGATAAAAGGCGTGATGTTATGTTATCCTTTTTGGAGAAAAAAGATACTTAGTATGCTATTAAATAATATATAATTCCGTAATACAGAATTAAGGTAAATCTAAGTGTTTCATTTAATCGATTGTCAAGGGAATTAATTTGTCTCTAACCACACTAATTAAACCGATTAGGCTGACCAACTTAATACCTTTGCCAAGTCAACGAACTCAACATAACGTAATTTTATAAACTGGTTTTATTTTATGTGATAAACATTTTTTTTAAATTTCTTATAACTAATTCCTTTAAGTAACGGTAATGTGGAATTCTATGATTTTTTTTTAATATTTGTGGCCATATATTTTGGCTATTTTGTTAGCCATAAATAATTTAGAGTCTCCGCAGTTATTTTGTTATAAGAAATGATCTTGTCTTTGATGATCGTTTAACGTTTAGCATTTTTATTATCGTTAACGTTATTCAAGTCACATAACAGTTATTTAAAATGTTGTTTTATAAGTTTTGTATAATTATATCCTGTTTTGGTCGTGACTAATATTTTAACCTTGCCTTTAGTTTGGTGATTGGATATATACCTACATGTTTTGCTAAGTTATTGTTTATCTGATGTTAATTTAGCGCTTAAAGATACTAAATAAGACGTCAATTGTACTAATTACGTAAGACAATTGGTACCCAATACATGTTGAAATTGAGGATTTGGAAAAAAGGGAATTTAGTCCAAGCGGTGGATTTGGTAGCCTTAATCTAAGTAGACAATCTTAGAGATACCTTATTATTGCTTTGACCGATACGGGAATCTAACACGAAACCTTTTGCCAAGTTACACTTGCGACCAGTCACTAAACAAGACAGTCAGTCCTCGCTAAGTTTCCTTAACTTAGTTCTACAAGTATAAGATTTTGATCACACTAAGATTTGTATTGCAATTTGTCTTAAACCAAAATATAGTCGTATTTCAGACATTGTTGACCCAGTTCATAGTTAAAGTTAATTTAACAGTTATTGTGAAGTAAATTGGGTCAAGTTTTGAACGGATCGCGTGACGAGAAAAGGCGAAGTAAGTACTTACTTATAAGTAGGTAACAGGAGCTACTTACGTCGTACTGTTCGTTCATTTTTCCTTTACCAGTTAAAATATCGTTTTCCTTATACCGTCAAATAAATAATAAAGTATACTTACGGAATATAGAAGCTTAAAGTTTCTAAGAGTTACGTTACTTAGGGAGTCATTTCGGAAAGAATTTTTAATTTGCTACGACTTTTTCAGTGGCTCTACCATAGATATAATAAAGAAATTTCTGTGGGTTCCACAATAATACGTTTTGGAGAGCAGATTAATACATGATTTTTGTATATGTTTGTTTATATGCACCTATACATAATTATTTTCTCTATCCACTTCTTTACGTAATTAGAAAGAGCGCTCAGAACAGAAAAAAATACCCTTTTAAGTTTAAAGATTGAAGTCAAAGTTAAAGCATTTATTTTAATTAACTCGTCGAGTACCGTCATTATAGACACAATTATAGAACAATAGGTTGCGGTCACCGGTGACCGCTTGGTGTTTGACAGTTTAAACCTTAATTTGGTACTTTTATAACGTCAATAAATACAAAATAAATAATAGGCTAAGTGCTCTTTCTAAAATGTAGATTCGAATGTAGAAGAACGTGCAAGAAACTCCATTATATGTATATTATAACTATATTAACACTCCTTATCCCAACCAAAAAAGCAATTCTTCTTCTATAGCTATCAAATTTTGCGAGCACTGCAACGATACTGCAAGAAACCTTATCACAAATCCGAAATATCATCTGGAATTGTTCCGCAGTTTTCGAGAACACGAGGTTAAGCAAGGTTACCGGGACAGACAGACTGGCTACTTTCTTTCATATTTCGCACATATACATAAGTAGCCACATTCACTTTAAGCAGCCATATATATTTACTATACTACTTATTTACATTAGTTTTAACATAATAACTTTCAATTAAAGTATAGTGTTCCGAAAAGTCTATTAACAGGAGGTTGGTCAAAGTCAAAGCGTTTATTTCAATTAATCCTTAATTAGGCACTTTTGAAACGTCAAAAATTGAATTGGGTAGTTTCCTGGGTCAAAAATAAATTATTTTGATTTTTCAGTTCAATTAGATATTGAAAAATATTTACACTTTCATTCATTGATTTGCCGATATACTTAATTGTCGATTTATTCTAGCATTTTTTTAGTTATAAGTGTGCTCTCAGACGCGAAAATATGATGGCGTCATAAGATGGTATTTCGTACAAAATTCATAGAACTGGTATCGTTTTTGACGTTTCTATAAATGTATTGAATTTGACTAGTTGTCAACTACCGTATTGTCCGTCCGTCCGTCTATCAGTGAAGCTAGGCACTCGTTCTAAAGTGTAATTTCCAATGTAGAAAACGAGCAAGAAACTCCATCGTTATGTTAAAAAAAAAGATTTTACAGTCTCATTGATACATTATCTGATCCTAGTAAGTAACACGAATATGGGCCTCATGAAAGATCATGAGATCACACTCTCCTTCAAAGTTAAATATACGTAACTGAGTAAAATAATAGTAAAACTTTGGATTCCATAAGGTAGAGGCTGAGAAACATATGCCTTTGTCATCTCATACAATGTAGAGGTATAACGGAAAGTGCGTTCTGTACAACACAACTCTCATATAACAAACATATTTTATTAATAACTTCTTACTCTTTCTTAAATAATCTGTTTTTTTAAGTTGGTTAAAAGGTTTTAAAGATTTTTTTTTAAAAAGTAAGTTATAAAAACCGACTTCTACCCCTTCTTTTTTGAAGTCGATTTATTAATATACTAACCTTCTCCTAAGCGTAAAAACATTTTAATGAAAACCGCATCATAATCGGTTCAGGAAATCGCGAGAAAATCGCGCACAAACATACATACATAGGTACTGGAGAAACTGAGAACCTTGTTTTTGAAGTCGGTTAATAAGCATTTTATTTTTATATATATTTTAGTACTTAATTCGCTATAAGCTGGTTTCAATCTAATTCTTTTTATAATTTAGGCTGCAGCGGGCAAAAATGTGAAGAAAATAAATAACGACTTAATTGTAACATTGAATTGTATAACCTCCTTCTACTTACTACCCGAAAGATGTTTTTACATTAAAATTAAATGCGCAAATAGACCACCAATAGCCAATTTGTACCTACTGTTTCTACCTACTACAATTATTGTAGCCGAGCTTCGAGATAATATTATACTTAATAAACGATGCTACTTCCAAACCGTTATACTAGACCATGACCACAGAACCACTGGTCAACTTAAAGCGACTTCTTACGACTCTCACCTAAATAAAACCACATCACTGGTTGACTGGCATACATCTAATTACAACAAGTGCAATCACACTAACGGGATTACCGGTTATAACTAGCTATAAGTGGTTTTAACTGGAATGTAGTGGACCCCACTGTCTCTATAATCGCTCTAATAACTATAG